TCAGAACCTGAGGAGTACAGTGAGCTCACTCACAGAAGAAACCATCGTATATTTTGTTGGGTTCCAGAAACATTTTATTTAAAAGAAAGTGTCTTTCCCCAATGGTGAGGATTGATAATTAACTTTTCAGTTGCTTCAGTTATCAGTACTATCATTATATAATCTACCAGGTTTTAGGTAACTTGAAATTTGCAGTGATTGGAACCAGTCTTTACCAATTTTGTATAATCTGATTTGAGATCAGATTGGTACAATACTTTGGGAAGATCAGGAAGTGTTTCATTCAAGGATCTCCTTGGGTGATGACTTATTAATGGGAGGAAGGTATCCTTATCAAACACTGAATCTTAGGAGGAACATAAAACACCTAAAGACAAGCCCAGAATTTTATAATAAGGGTCTCCCCAAAACCAGAAACAGAACCCCTTAAATATTGAAAGATCTTACCAGCTTGCTCAATTCTAGTCTGTATTGATCCAGAGTTAATACAGTGTAGGAAGTCACCAGGAAGAGGTCACTGAGTCTTACTCTACCCAAGTAGACAAGTACACACCAGGGAGGGGTGCAAGTTGACACCTTTAGTCCAAGACTATGGGGTAAACAGCCCTGTTTGAGTCTACAGAAGTCTACTCTGAGGCTCCGGGGGTGACAGATGGCCAGAGAGAGCCACTAATTCGAAGACCATGATTGAACCTCATGACCGAGCCTCCCACTGTTTACCCCTCCAGAAAAATACAGCTCTGAGTCTCCCACCTTCATTCTTCTCTGTGCCTTCCCCAGAGAGCAGAAAATGCACAGGGTCTGAGTGTAGCCAGAGGCCCTTCAACGTTCTCCATTTCCTCTCCACTTTGGTCTCAAAAGCCAATTCTTCCCTCTCTGTTCTTTAAAATAAAAAGTCTTTTTCTCCATGCAAAAGTATTACAGTATATGAATGCTCTACAAACTTCAAATAATACAGAAATGTAAAGTACAGAAATTTCCCATAATTTGATGTCTCCCATCTCTCCAAGATAACCTAAAGTTAAGAATTTAAATATACTTTCAGAACTTTTCTTCTCTATAGCTGTATGTATCTATACATATATAATTAATAGCATATAAATGTAAATATTTTTCTGTTGTAAAAATGTCACTTTACAATATATGCTTTTCTCCATATGCTTTTCCACTCAATGTAGTAGGTGTTCAATAAATATTGCATGAATGAGCCATGATTTATTTATTCAGTCTTCTATTCAAGGACTTGGGTTATTCCAAACAACTGTCCAATAAACATGATTATGTATAAAAGACATGATTGAAAGATAAATATACGACATGTGGAAACACATAGCTGTGTATAATATATATGTACCTAAACATGTTAATAGAACACACAGTGCAGTGCAGAGATGTCTTGGGTGCCCTCTGGTGTGTTTCATGGATATACCTGGAATATATGTTGATAAATTAGCCTCAAAAAGAGAACTTTCAAAAAAGTGTTTTGGGATCTTTGGGACTACAGGGTAGCTATCCTGCATTCGTTATATGTTATAACGTAACATTTGTTATGTTATTGTGTGCTTATATTGGCTTTAAGTCCTCAGCAAGGCAGCTTGACTAAGGTAAGATCCAGAATCCAATAATGGTAACAAATGGCAACAATTAATTTTAGATAGAACAGAAAAGAATCTGTTTCAAATTCTTTCTAGAATAGGAAGGAAAGAATGATTGGGGTTGGTGGGAGGGAGGAAAGGAAAGAAAAAAAAAAAAGAAAAATGCTTTCTCCTGCAGGTTATTTGCACTATTCTTGTCAGATTCTACAGTGTGAGAATTGCAGGTCTTTTAAAGGACATAATATTATGACAGATTTTCCTTTATTCCTTGTTCCTGGGGCTGCATTCCCAATGGCTTCTTGTCAGATTCTACAGTGTGAGAATTGCAGGTCTTTTAAAGGACATAATATTATGACAGGTTTTCCTTTATTCCTTGTTCCTGGGGCTGCATTCCCAATGGTTTACTTCCTGCCACAGGCTGGAGGCTGGCCACTTCTGGATCAGTCTGAGGAAGCCCATGATAGCGAGAATGCCCACCTGTCCCTCGGCATGTAGGGGGTGGTGGTGGGTGGATACTGCTGCCCATTGGGTGCAGTGGCCACACAGGTGGTGGCAGCAGCATGGCCCTCGTCTGGGACCAAGGACAGCCACACCGAGTCCCTGGATGAGACAGTGACCGTCATGGTGGCTGCACCAGGGACAACAAACCCAGCTCTGTGGTCCCCACGGTGCTAGGAAAAAAAGGAAAGCGGCTTTTGTGACTTCACCTTTTTTACAAAATAAAAACAGTGCTTGAATGTGACCTTTCAGCTCTGTGAATGCAAACCAGGGCCTGGTGGACTGGGGAGAACAATTAGGCCAGAGACAGCACAGGAAGCCACAGTGGGTAGAAACCCAGACAATGGTGCTGGAGCCTGGGGCTGGGATGCAGGGGGAGCGGATATGATAGCGAGGAAGGAGTTTCAATGTGAATGAATACTAATTAGTGACGTGGATATTAATGATGACAGTAATTAACAGGGGAAAGGAAGGGCTGTCATTGTCCCAGGGCGAGTAATCAATCTTGGCAGGTGATAAATAATGGTTTAGCAAGCTCAGCAGAAAGATAATCCGCCTGCCCCGGGGAGAGCTAGAGCCAGGCTGGAAACCTCCTGGTTTCTAGGCAACCCACAAAAAAGAACTATTTTTCTTTTGAGGACAAAACAGGTTAGAGTCTCTCACCCCCACCCCCAATTTGAGATTACAGTTCTTATTTGATTTCTGCTTTGTTCTTCATTTCCTAGGACAAATGGTGAACTTGTATAATTTGGAGGCAATGTGCGCGCGCACACACGCACAGATACTCTCTGTTTCTTTCAAAGAATGTGAATGAATAGGGGTGGTTTTGATCCAAAGTTCAGCTCGTAGCTGCCATTCAGGAGCAAGAGTGGGGAGAAGCTTAGAGTCCTGCATTTGAGGTTGGGATGCGGGAACTCGCAAGCCCATTTTAGTGGAGGCTGGACCTGGGGGAGCCCAGGCAGAGTAGGGTGGGCCTGGCAGTCCTACGTGCAGGGTTCCTTCACCTTCCACAGAAACAGAGAGAAGCAAAGTGTCCAGGCTCTCCAGCTGCACTGGTCCCACTACTGGCCACCAGTCAAATTTTTGAGAAATTTGATTTTGGGGAGAAGAGTAATAATGTTCATTAAACCCCTCTGCTGGATCTCCAGTCCTTCCACTGGGAATCTAGCAAATGGGAGCTAATGGCAAGTCCTCTCCCTCACATCCAAGGCTCAGACCCACAGTAGCACTTGGATATCTGGAAATGTCCCCCTTTTCAGGCTTTTTTCCATCAAACACTCCATCCTGAGGTGACAAACCCACTTGCAACAGTCTACACTAGTTTAAAGTGAAATCTTTGGGTGCCAAAGGTGCTTTGAACTTTTTCTGGAAGTTTAGAAGCTTCCAGAAAATGGACGCCTCTACTCCCATGTGAACTGTGCTGCTCTTGGAACACTGGTTCTAGATGCCACATTTTCAAAGGGAGGCAAACAAAAGGGAACGTATTCAGAGAATTGTGACCAAAACAGTGAAGAACTCCAGGTCACGTCATGTATGGAAACGACTGAGAGATCCAGGCACGTATCCCTGGAGTGGGGACGTTGGTGGTATATACTGAAAGGACTGTCCACATGTCTGAAGGACTGTCTCACGGAGTGATCGGGTCTGGGTTTGTTTTTCCATCATCAGCAGGCAAAACTAAGGCCAATGGGAGGAAGTCAGAGAGGAAGTTCCTGTTCAGAGGAATCAAGGACGACTTCGCTAGACAGGCTGGCTAGTGGGGAATCTGTGGGTTCCCAGGTACTGAGCTTTTCCTAAATGCAGGTTATAGCACCTGTTTTCCAGGGTGTTGTGGATAGGACTCATTAGCTAGGTTTGGAGCAGGTAAGCTTTTTTTCTTTCCCCTTAAGTAATAAACTTTATTTTTATAGCAGCTATTGGTTTACAGAGAAATTTAGCAGAAAGTATAGATAGTTCCCATACCCCTTCTACACACACACAATTTCTCTTATTATTAACATCTTGCATTAGTGTGGTGTATTTGTTACAATTGTGAGCCAATATTGATATATTATTAACTCAATTTTACATTAGGGTTTTCTCTTTGGGTTGTATAGTTCTATGGGTTTTGCCAAATGCATAATGTCATCTATTCACTGTCAGAGTAGAAAAGCTTTAAAAGTTCCTTTTTACTCTTAAGATTTTATATTAGTTAAGATAATGCTAAATGGCAAAATAGATAAACCCCAAATTTCAGGGGCTTAACACAGCAAAGTTTATTTCTCAATCAAGTCAGAGCCTCAAATAGGCATGAATTTTCATGGCTGAAACCATGTCTCCTTCCATATTGTGGCTCTGCCCTCCCCCAGGCCCTTGGAGTCCCCTCCATCCAGCCAGCAGATGGGGAACAGAAGGCTGTGGAGATATGGAGGGCCACATGGGAGACTTTATGGTCCAGGTCTGGAAGTGGCCTGTATCCCATGTTCCACTGGCAGAACTCAGTCCACACCCAACTGCAGGGGAGTCAGGAAATGTAATCTAGCTGTAGCCCCGAGGGGTAGAGGAAAGAGGTTGTGGTGAACACATAGAAGTTTCTGCACAGATGCAAGGGCACGTTCATTCAGGATGATTTGCCCGGGCTGACAAAACTTTACCCAGCCTGTCTTGAGGAAGTCCTCTGTAGGTACTCCCTAGAAATGTGCATATGAGATCATCCTGAGCCACCAGAAGTGAATGCTTTTTGGAAAAGAATGGAATTGTAACTCTGGAAGTGTATGGTGGATGGAAAGGATTGGTTAGGATGGAAAAGCATCAAGCTCTCTGGGTGTGTGCTGATTGGCATTAGGACTATCTTAGGTAAACGTGTTTCTTTTGCCATAGGGCTAAACACTCTTGAGGGCTTCAGCTTAAATTGCTTTATCGTTGCAGGTACTGACATTGTGCAGTGGCTTATGAAGAACCTTTCCATCGAGGATCCAGGTACTTGACTCTTGATCCTCTCTATATCCCCCCAGGTATCAGTAAACCTCCCATAGCCAAGTTCCAAACTGGATTCTCCTACCCTCCTGAGAACCGGGCTTGTAAATATGAATTCCAAGATGAAGAATCACTGTATTTATAAATAAAATTAATTCATTTTCTCCACTGAATATCTATCTTTAAATTTAAATCACCCTTTGAGGAAATGAGCAACCATTTAGAATGCCAAAGAGCCTAGTACAATAGCGTGTGAAATGAGATGAATTCTCGTTAGCCACAGCAATTCAAGATAAGTTGTAGCACTGTCACTGAACAGCCTTCTAGAGCCAGCTCTTAAAACTAGATTGCCTGATCCACAATTAAGATGTTTAATTATTTGCTAAGACTCCTTCTGTGTTCTGCTTGTGCAAGAACTGAAGGAATGATTTTTTTTTTTCCAGCTTTAATTGTGCATTTCCATTAGGAAAACCTTACCAGAAAAACAACAACAAAACTCTGGCCAATAAAACACTTTCCAAATCTATCCTCCCACCAGAAAATAAGCAGTAAAATTTATTTTCATAGCATAATTAGGAAATTATGGGGGTATTTCAGAAAAATAAAAATTCTAAATAAGTAAAGCTTATTATCCATGTACCATTAGTTAATACTTTTCTGAATTTGTTATACACTCCTTTGTCTTGCTTAACTGAATATTCTTGATGCCTGAAGATCATATTTATAAAGATCCGCTATCATACTCCGATGTTCTTGATGGACATTGGGTGATTAGACCTATTTGCCTCGGATTAGAGGCCCCGACCATTCTGCTTTTTGAAGATTTTTTTTAAGTGTTCACTCTAGATGCTCACACCTTCAGCTATGGTTCCTTGCTGGGATGAGTCTGTCAGCTCAGGCATTGCTGTAGTTTAACCTGACATCCTAAGCTACTGTTGACTATGAAACAATATCACTTACATACAGCTCAATTAAATACGGTTGCCAGAAATTTGAATGCCAGAAAAGCAGGTCACTCATGGAAGGGACCCTAGTTTTTCACCACCTTGATTGATGGCCACTCTCACAACTAGTGAAAATTCTTATTCTAGTCAAGTTCTTAATTCATGGAATAAACCACAAATGCCAACCCTTTTAAGGGACAGGACCCAAATCAACTCGCCTTTGTATTTCCATTATACAGCTTGGAATTCTGATTGTCCATTTGTGAAACCTGGGCCAGATAAGCACCTACCAGCTTAGTTACATTTATTTAAAGTCAACATCTCTTTTGATTATGATGTTAAACTAAGGAACACCTTTCCTCATGGCAGTCTTTTCTAAGAGCACTGGTTTCTTCTCCCTTCTAATTATTGTATTTCTGACATATATTTATTATTATTATTATTATTATTATATTATTATTATTATTATTATTATTCTAGGAAAGGTCCCGAATTATGAGGCCATGTCTATGGAGGCCTGTTGGGAGGACATCATGGTGTTGGGACCTTGTTTGGGCTTCTGAGAAGTGGCTGAGTCAGAGGAGTTGAGAACAGTTTGCCAGCTGGGAATAGGAGGGCAGAGATGAGGCAAACCAAGGCCCTAGGAGGCCAGGCATGGCCAGCATCTGCCCCCCGCTCCCCTCCTGTCTTTCTTCCCATCTGCCAAATTTCTAAGCAAAAGCATTTTTGCTCAAAGAATGAAATAAGAGTTTTAGCTCCAAGGCTGGTGACATGAAAGTCACCTACTTACTGGATTTTGTTCTTCTTTCCTTGGGGATGATGAAACTTCTCCACCTGCTAGACCCATGAGTCTCAAAGGATATAGACTTCAAAAAGCAAACTGGTCAGCGCGGCGGCGCTCCCGCTCACTGGCTGAGCGAGGCGCGGGAGCAACACCGAGGGTTGCAATCCCGTTGCCGGTCCCCGGTCCGGTACAGGGGCAACACTGAGGGTTGCGATCCGTTGCCGGACACGGAAAAAGACAAAAGACAAAAAAAAAAAAAGCAAACTGGTCATCACTAAGCAAGTAAAATATAACTTCATTTGTTCCAGTTCCACCAGTTACAAGTGTATGTTCCTCCCAGAGTTTAATAGGCGATCCTTAATAAGCAGAACATGTGGATTATATGCAGCCTCTTGAAAAGTTTGCAAGTAATGCTAAAACAAGTCACTTTTAAAATCCAGAGCTTTTGAAATTAATAATTGCTAGAAATTTCCTGAGCATTTCAGTAATTTCCATGTCCAAAAATTCCTTTTTAACCAGTGTAAGTACTTTTAGATTTGTGAGAGATTATTAAGTGTGGTAAAACCATTTCATTTTGTTATATTTAATAAGCTCTGCTCAGGATAAATATTAATTCTTAACTGTCTCTGTAAATCTATATTTCTGGCTGGTGCTACATTACCAAAATGACAGGATGATAGTGGCAAAAAAGAAATATATCCATCAGGTTGGCCTCCCTATGCCACTGCCCACTCCATTGTCCTTCCTCCAGTTTTCTAAGAACATGAGGTTTGACTCTGTCCGCAAGAGAAGGGTAACACCTCCTCATTGCTGATGGGACTGTCATATTGAGGAATGCAGGTGAGCCCAAAGTCTCTGTGGGAAGTGAGGCTTCATTCTTATTTCTGGGGCTGACAAAACATGATGGAACCAACAGTATGAATCAGGGCTGCCAGCACTCACTGAGTCCTTGCCCTGTACTAGACACTGCTAAGCACTTTATGTGAAATATCTTACTTAATTAAATACAGGTTTATCACTGCCAAAGCTCACGTTCTTAACCATGAATCTAGACTTTCTTCTGGAAGGTCTGAGGGGCGGGGGTTAAGCAATGTCAGACTCTCAGAGCTGGGATCCAGAGGAGTCCCAGACACATGGCGGCCCTTCCCAATTATTAGTGTCTCCCCACCTCCACCCCCAACAAGTGCAATTGCATCATCAACACAGTCATCTGGGGTGATACTTGACTTCTGTTGCCTTTCTGCTCTCTCAGCTTACCTTGCAGCTGAGTAACCTGCTTCCTAATTCCTTCTCCTTCCCATGCTCTGTCCATGCAGTTGAAGCAATACACCTGGGAAGCCTTATAGCTGCCCAGGGCTACATCTTTCCCATCTCGGACCACGTGCTCACCATGAAGGATGACGGCACCTTCTATCGTTTCCAGGTAGGCCTGCTGGCTCCTCCTCATGAAGAAACTTTTCTTCTCATTATCATCTGATCTCGGATTAGGACGCCATAGAAAAACTAAGTGTATTTAAGGGAGCAACCCTCACCCCTTGCCAGCCCTGGAAAAGCCAAGAGAAGTTTTGTCTGGGTTTTTGGTTGACTCCCTTAAATTACAGTATAAGGTGTTGATCAAGAGCCGACTGTTTGTTGGGCACTATCTTAGTCCATTCAGGCTGCTATAATGAAATATCATAAACTGGGTAGCCTATAAATAACTTGTTTCTCACAGTTCTGGAGGCTGGGAAGTCTAAGGTCAAGGTGCCGGCAGATTCAGTGTCTGGTAAGGGCTGCTCTCTACTTCATAGATAGTGCCTTCTAGCTGTGTCCTCACATGGCAGAAGGGGCAAGGGGTCTTCCTTAGGCCTCTTTTATAAGGGCATTGATCCTATTCATGAGGGCCCCATCCTCATTACCTACTCACCTCTCAAAGGCCCCACCTCCTAATGCCATCACTTTGGGGATTAGCGTTTCAACATACAAATTTAGGAGGGACACAAACATTCAGACCTTAGCAGAAACTTTGCACATATCTCCTCATTTATTTTGAAGAACAAACAAAGTTTGGGGAGGTAAATATCACTCATTTTACAGATGAGAAAACAGAGGTGCTCAGAGAATTAATATGGCATTCAGGAAATCTAGGAGGCAGCCTTGATTTGAACCAGGAGAGCCTGATAACACAGTCCTGATCTTTCTACCGTATCAGGCTGCCTTCCTAGAGTGAAGCTTCTATTTGCTTCCTCATCATCCTTCTCTCCCATTTTACACTGCTTCTCCCAGATCCTGCTCTACAGAGAATTGGGGCAGAGGATAAGGATTGTGTTAAGGTCTAAACTGAAAGGTTTTGTAGGAGAGTTCTTCAGACACGGTGATGGGGATAAAAGGAACTCAGCCTTGGGTTCCCAGTAAACTGTGCCAGCCTGTCTTCTGTAGTTAGACTTCTACCGTCTCAAAATAAGAAATTTTGCCCTGTAAACTATTTCTCATTTTTGCATTTATTTTGCTTACCTTGGATTTCATTTCTCAACACCTAGATTAAAATGTTGACTGGCCTCAACTGTGTAAAGAACAGGAGAGAGTCGGGGTGTGGTGTCAGCAAGAAGGAGTTAGAGACAGAGCCTGTCACGAGGGAGTGTTCTCACTGGGTGCAGGGGAGGGCAAGAACCGGGGTGCCTCTGGGTCCTGACACCATGTACTTTTTTGTAGGCGCCTTATTTCTGGCCTTCAAACTGCTGGGAACCTGAGAACACTGACTATGGTGAGAACTGAAGCGGTGACCCACATTTCATGTTACTCCTGAGTGTGCAGAAAACAGATGCTCAGTGTCTGGGCTACTGTGGTGTGTGGCAAGAAGGGTCTCTATCCTGCTTAGTCCTTTCTCATATTGTTGACATGTAGTGGACTCTCTGTTCCATGTAATAAAGGAAGGCAGAGCACTGAAAGATGCAGTCTTGTGCATGAGGAGCCCATACCCCTTTCTTGGTCCTTGCACAGCCACTTGCACTGCATCCTTGCTGCTGCCTTGGCTGCTGTGGCAGTGCAGCCCATGGCTCTCTTCCATGGCTCTCTTTGGGACTCGGGCACTCAGTGACCTGCAGTTTCTTCCTAGGTTCTTTGCAGGATTGTTTGCAACAGGATGACAGATGCAGCTGTGGTGAGTGGAAGGGAGGAGTGCAGCTGGGTGATGCTCAGGCAAGACATCCAGAGACCTCTGCATCACACATTTGAGGGAGGAGACCAGCAATTAGGAGCAGTCCTAGGGATGGAAGGCCAGTGAGTCATTGCCTGACAGGGCTATGGCTGCTCTGTTTCCAAGTCCGGAGGATGACCCTCATGCAGAAGGCCAGGGCCCTCAACTGTCTGCCCAGCTGTCACAGGCACCACCATGAGCCCTCTGAAAGCCATGCTATGCCCGAAATGATGCAATAAGTGGCTCCAGCTAGGCCTCCAGCTCAGACGGGAGCTGCATTTGGCCGCTCACTCATAGAACAAGCACTTCTGGGGCTGAAGGACTGCTCACGAAAGCCCAGCTGGGAATTTGAATAATTATAGCTCAGTTCCATGCAGAAGCCGTGTGCCCTTGTGAATGTGAAGAGCAGTATCTTTTCAGGCAAATGGAGAGGGTGGGAGCATGGTAAGACCAGATACCTTGGCCCAAGTCAGATTAAAATATTTTATATAAGGACATTGTTTCCTTGCCTCTACAGGTTTTCTCCATTTCATAATTTTAGTTGTACATCATGAGCAAGGAGAGAAATGACAGTTTGTGTCAGGCTCTCATTAAAGCAAAATTATTTTTAATTCCTGTGCCTTAAATTATGGCAAATCAGAGGGAGAAGTCAAGTATTTCCAAAGCAGTTCAATCAGAAAATCAGTAGGTATTTACTAGAAGAGAATCCAGCATAGCAGGCCCTCAAATCAACTGCCTTCACTAGCTGTGTGATCTCAGCAAGTTACTTAACCTCTCTGAGCCTCAGAAACCTCATATGAAAATCAGAGTAATAACAGTATCTGTCTCCAGTGTTGTTTTGTTAGAATTAAATGAAATGCATGTAAGGTTCAGGGCGTGGCATGTAGTAAGGCATCAATACTCTTCACTATGGTGGTTATTTTATTACTATTGGGGTCATGGTTGGTGTCATTACTACTGTGGTGGCCCTCTCACCAGAAAGGATGTGAAACTGAAGCTAAGAATTCAGAATAGGTCTGATTTCGATTGATGAAGAACCAGAAACTTTCATTCATTCAGTGAACATTTACTGATCACCTACTGTGTGGAATTTTTATGTCACAGATCTGGATAAGTCAGTCTTGCCCGCCGAGCATTCCAGGCTGGGGAGATGGCATGCATCATAAGGGCAAAAGGGCAGGATGAGGATCTGGTTTGAGTAGTCACAGGTTATATGTTGATGAAGAGTGACAGAGAAAGTCAAATAGGTCAGGAAGAGCAGGTTTATAAAAAGGCGTTGGTAGTCAAAGAAAGACACGTAGAATGGATTCAGCAGTTTGGAGAGCCATTGTGGGTCCCCAATAATGAAGAATGACTTGAAAAAAATTCTCTCATCTGTAAGAGGGGGTCAATATCAGCACCCACCTTGC